GTATTCTCGTCTTACATTACGGATTTGGTATTTAAGGAGGCTAGGACCGTGCCAAGATCTTTTTTGGTTATCTTATTTCTAGCTGGTCTCAAAATAAATAGCGGAAATCCAACATTTGACCATAAAATGTCAGCCACCTATGATTTTTCTTGCAGCTTCAAATTGGTAGATACATTGGAACTTTGAGATAATCAAAACACACATTTTCTATTTAGTAGGCCTAAAGAGAATCATTGTTCACCAACGCTCTCCACAGTTTTTTGTTTCTGAAAAATTCCGAAGAAAAACTTCTCTCATCAAAGCTTTCTATTCTATCTAAGTTAATGAAATAAGAAGAAAAATTTTTTACCAACAGTCCTCACACTTTCCAAATTTTTCAGACCTGCTCCGTTTATACTTATCATCCCTCTGTAACATTATATCGCCAGTTTCAATTACCATGCGGTTTTTTATAGTGTTAGAGATGCTGACAGGATAGTAGTGGCTTCAAAGCCCTTTTAGCTTTTAGCCAGCTTTATAGAAGATTGTATAGCAACTAGACTCCTTGCTAATTGCAAGCATATTCATGCCTTTTTGCTTCCATTGTTATTTATACCTGCGCATTTCGAGCATTACACCGAGATGGTAAGACTCTTTCGTTAGCACAAACGCTGAATCTTAAAATACTTAACCTCTGCCTCAACTCTTTCTACTGTTCTATGGAGAAAATTTTCTGAAGAAACACTGAGTTTTGGCTTTTTTTTTCGATGTAATCGTATTAATCATTCGTTTTAGATGAAAAATCTCTTGTGCACGTTATGTGCTCTACTGCCAATAATCGCAAATGTAATGGCTGAAGACGATGCCAAGACAGCTTCAGTGACACTCAAGGTAAACGAAAACCGAGACTGTTTGTTTGTATGTAACAGAAAGGGTTTTATTTTTAGGTGGAAATGAATGACGATTCGATGAAAGTTCTAGAAGGAGTGAAATCGCTGAACAGGAAGGAACGAGATTTGGTAAGCCTTGGTAATTTTTTGGCTTGCTTTTTGACTATTGTGGTCAATTTTGAGCTGGAAACGATGGCAACAGAAGACGAAGCGAGAGATGTGGAGCCCCTGCGACTCAAACGTGAAGCTCCAGCCAATCCTCTTCTTGCCTTATTCCAGCCAAAAACTACACAAAATAAGAAGGAAAAGAAGGTATTCTTACCTAGAGTCGCATTAGTTTCCTTACTAGCATAGTGTGTGTGCATTTGCACAATTTCCTCGTTAATAATGGCCGAAGCTCTCGAGAAATATCGAGTTTGGTTTGCAGAACATAAGAGAAGAAACTAAATTCGATATATCTCGGCAACTAACTCTTGTAGAAAGCTGAAAATCTGCCGCTTTACTTCTCAAGGCAAGTAGTATGGAATTACTTACGCATTAACGGCCCAGCATCACTTTGACGGGAGCACAAGAATTTTCAAATTTTCGATGTCTAACAAAGAAAAAAATTGCAGCAGCTGCGCAGATCTATATTTACGAAATAT